GTGTTTGTGTGTGTTTGTGAGCGTGTGTCTGTGTGTGTACCTGCTGTGTGTCTGCTAGTGTTTACGCTTGTGTAAGTTTCCGTGAGTATGTGACAGTATGTGTGTACAAAACCAGCAGCGCTTGTTCACGGCTAAGTGCTGGGTCGCCAAGGGTATTGCGTCCCCAACCCAAACGCCTAAAAACCATAGATCATGCCTAAGCCTTAAACATCACTGCTGGTAGTTTCTGAAAGTTGAACACCCAAGATAAAGCGCAGCCCGAAAAAGCACCAGACCTGCTAGCCTAAGCCTTCAACCGAACACTAAACGTGAAGCATCCTAAGCCGCAGACTTTGCACTCCAACAGCCCTTAACTTGCTGTTCCTTGAACCATACCGTGTAGAGTCTTGAACTTGAAATCCTGGGGGCGAATGTCGAGGATCTTAGCATCAGGCTTCAGGGCTTACAATCAGGGTTTAGGCTTTCGGGTTGCTGGCGTCTAATTGAAATTTGGGGGTTTAGGGAGTCCGCACCCGAGGCCACAGTAGAGGACGAGGATGACCACAAAAACAAGGCAAAACACGAAGAGCAAGCCAACGGATTGGACCAACTTGGAACCGGAGGAGGAGGAGGAGGAGGACAAGGAGGAGAAGGCCCCGCAGCTGGATCAGAATTTCAATCGGAAAAGAGGACAGGTCCAAGAGCAACAAGTTCGCGATGATGATGAGAGAGAATCAACTACCCAGCGCCTACGGAGTTCTTCAACAATGTCACCCAGAGGGAAAATGATAAGAAGCACCTTTTCTTGGCATCATTCAGTCTGTGGAAGCAGACAGCAACAAAAGGATGCAATGGACGCCAACTGGCTATTCAGAAAGCTGATTGAAGATTACGGCAGACAGTGTTTCTGTCGAAGTTCAAGATGGACCACGATCTGATTGAGGCGGCCATCCGGATCGGAGAATGGGATGTGCTGGATCGCTCCGGGGTATTGTATCTTTAGTGGAAGCCTGATATGAATAGGAAGCTCAGTGACACGGAGACGGATGTGGCCCGGGATTCGGATGAAACGAAGGCAAGGGGTTCGGCAGAAACCATGTAAGCACATTCCTTGAATTTTCCGGTTCTCGATGACGAGCCGCCGCCGCTCTAAGACAGCACGGCGGACAGGATGACAGATGGTCACTGGAAGCGGCAAAAGCGAAGCTTGCAACACAACAGGGTTGTCCAGCCTCGAGACTTTTATCGTCAAAGTCGGAAAAGCTGCTGCACAAATGTGACCTCGGGTCCACGAGGGCTAGGGCTTTAAGGTTTGGCAGGTTAGGGTTTCAGGCGCTTTTGCACGTGCTTGCTGCGCAGGCGAACTTTGACCTGTGGCTAGAGTTGGATTCCGAGTATCATTAGAGGACTGGTGGTATATCCGTGTGCCAAAAAACCGGTATCTGTACATATGGACTAACAGGAAACTGCACAGTCTCTAGCATAGGTTTCATCCGTGCCACGCATACAAATTCCCCGCACAACTGTACTGGACCTTCCAATACAGCCCTTCATGAAGAAGCTCCAAGAACGGCCTACGGCAAGTCCTAAAAAATCCTACCGCCTAAACCCCAAGAGAGCCCCTACGACTCGGAACCCCCATTCGACCTCGGTCAAACTCCATAAACCCCCGGTAAACTCAACCACCTATACACCTCAAGCCTGTCCAAGGTGGTGCGAGCAGAATGGCATCCTCCACCCAGAGTTTGTGAAACCGACCCTGGGCTCTTTTGGAGTGTAAATGTGGAAGCCTAATGAATAGTTACCAGTATTGCTCTTTAGGGTTCGTCGTTATGGCTTCTACTATGACGGAACCTCAAGCCCTATTCTACTTAATTGAGGCCCCTACATAACTTCGGGCCTCGGGTTCAGGATTCGGGGTCTGAGGTTGCGGGTTTGGGGATAAGCGCATGTGTCATTTCAAAGCGTGGTTTCGGCTTTGGTGCTTTGTTTTCTTGTTTACCGTTTGTTGCGTATTACTTAGGGCTTTGGGTTTTAGGGTATTGGGTGTTGCGTTTTACGGTATCAGGGCCTGGCGAAGCACTTAAAAGTGTTTGAGGGGTCTTGCTGGTACGAGAATTTGAAGAAAGGACATTCGTTTGGGTTTGTTTTTCTATTCCAGTTGGATATACGGTAAGACCCGTAGCTGTTAACCCCATGGACACGTGGAATGTCTCTCCACTATAATCCTTAAAAGCCCATGTGCCAAATCCTGAGCCCTCATCGAATCCCGCTGAACGTCGCTCAACCCTACCCGGTGTGGTTTCTGTGTTTTCCATATCCTGGAAGCCCCAATGTCACATAATGTGGAAAGAGCCGCGAGGCAGGAAGAGGGCATCCTGAAGTATGAAAGCCTGGCTTCGGGTTTGTTGGGTTTCGGGCGTAGGGGTTGCGATTGTGCATTCAAAGCTTCCAAGCTTCCCGCATCTTTTCCCTCTTCCCTCCTACTCATTGATGGTTCCGTTGACGTTTGGAATTTTTGGAGCATGTGTCCTGTGGGTGTGTATCCATGGAACGATACCTTGTTTCCGTAGAAGTTTTGGCGCCTCAGGAAGGTCATCGAGAATCCAGACGTGCTTCCGGGTTCCCATGGCATCGGAGCAGGCGAGGGTGTGAGGATCCGGAAGAGTGGGGCTAAGGTTGTAATATTCACGTCGCAAACAACCCTAGACTAATTACACGCAATAAGCTCCAAAACACCCCAAGTCAAAAAGCCAATGCAGCACGAAAGTGGCCCATGTTTTAGTTAAAGGCCTTGCTGTCACACGAAGGCTCACGGAGAGCTTGTTTCCTGATGCCTTGCTTCCTGTCCCCAAACATACCCGAAAAACAAAGCCTGGCTACGAGGAGCAAACAAAGTTCCATTTAGGATGAGAAGGATGCGTTCAGAGAACACCTCCTTCAGAACGCCGAAGCGGCGTAATCGTTGTTGCAGCCTGCTGTAGTCTCTTGAACTCTTGAACTGTCAGCAGGCCCCGCGCAGCCCTACTAATTCCCAAATTTGGCCCCGAAGATGCCACACTCAGGCAGCGGGGGGACAAGATGATATAACAACTGTTGCGATAGGCCCGGAGAGTTCCAATACCCCGCAACCAACAAAAACCGAAGCCCCTGTAACCCTGAATCCCACGCCCGAAATCTTGACCTTAAACCCTCAAGCCTGGAACCCCTAAATCCCAAAACCAAAGCTTCGAACCCTAGACCCGTCACCTCGACCGTGGCTACCCTTGCACGAAACCCCGGAACCTGGCAGCTGTGATTGTCCTCAGAGCCCTTCATTGCACGGAAGTCTCCCGCAGCCGATGACCTGAACCACCGAGCCCGAGCCCTAAACCTGCAACCCCAACCCCTAGAAACCCGAAGCCGCAAGCCCCGAATCCACCCCAAGCACTTTAAGGCACAACACCCCACAGCCCCATCAGCCACGAATTTTCGCCCGTCGGTATTCCAGGCGCCGGCAAGGCTCCAGCGCCAGCACCACTTCCGCAGGCGGCATGCAAGGAAAACTCTGGCGAGGGGGAAGTTACGGGCCTACTGGGGTATGTTGGAGGGACTAGATTCGGGTGCATGTATCAGGTNNGAGGGTGTGTATTACAAAAAGATGGGGGTACATGTTTGGGTCATCACTATCGTCAGGCTTCATTCAAGTCTTATGCTTGAGGTTGACGATATGCAAAAAAGTCTACACCAGGCGGGGCGGGACTGCTTCGCCATCTCGGGTGTAGGGATCCCGAGTTCGAGATACCAGCGGGGGGGGGGGGGGGGGGGATCCGGGGCTTAGGAAGTTGGAGTTGGAGCTTTAGGGCTCAGAGCTTTAAACCCCAAAGCCTAAACCCTGAACCCAAAGTTGAAAGGTTTAGTGTTTGGACTTGCTTCATCCTGGGGGTTGAGGGTTTCAGGGTTCAGGGATGTTTGGAAAGTTTGGGTGGGTGGGTGGGTGGGTGGGTGGGTGGGGGTTTCGTGTAGGTTTGGGGCTCAGACTGCTCGCTTTTTGCGGGTTTAGGGCTTAGGCTTTAGGATTTAGGGTTTGGGGTTCCGGGTTTAGGGAAAAGATTTGAGGAGTCTCGAGATTTGCGGCCTGGCTTCTGACCTCTCTCAAAAAGCTTACTCGAACCCGAAGTCGCACACCCTGAAAACCCGTGACGCTGCAACCCTCAATCCGGAACAATAACGGTCTTCGGCACCTATGCCGTAGGCCTACCTTTAAACCTTAAAGCCCGAAAACCTCAAATCGCCAAGCTCTGCAGGGCTAAAGTGGCTAAAGTCCATGAATGTCTAGATGTCAAAGGCTCGGAGAAAAATACCTTCTGTGCAAGGCGCCCCTTTTCCTTCCTCACAAACCCTGCAAGAAATAAAGTCGAACCGAGAACCCACCCTCACCCTAAACCCTCAGCTTGTGAAGGTCGTCCCGGCCCTTCCTCTCAAGCCCGCCGTCATATAGGCCAGCAGCTGGCGTGGGAACCTCAGAGAAGGGCATAATTAACTCTTAGTAGGGTTGCCTTGTAAGGGGATCTACAGGGGTTACTATACTAGGTTGCTGCAATGGCTATTATAAGGGTTGCTACGAGGGTTTAGTTTAGTGACCGCTAGGGTCCCTCGTGCTCCGCGTCTCTGTCGCTCTCTCTCTCTCTCTCTGTCTCTGTGTGTGCTTGTGCATGCTTCGTTTGCCAAGGCTCAGCCAAAACCCCAAGCTCTCAGCCCCTCAGTCCAGGGTTCGGGTTCAACCAGTACAGTGTACTGTTTACTGTTACTTTTGATTTTCAGGGGGTTCAGGTCAGAGGTTTAGGGCTGGTCCGGGCCCGTCGTGGTTTCACATCACTAGGAATCATCGCAACCCAACAGTCGCCTTAGGCCGAACTCCGGCATTGGATGTCGCGACTGTTCGCTTTGTTTCCTAGACCCTAAAGCCCTAAACCCTAAACCCCAAACCCTAACTAACCAGGCAGGTGGAAAAGAGGTGCCAAAAAAAAAAAAAAACACAGGACCTCCTGCAGCTGCACGAACAGAAGGAGCTCCATTTCCTGGAGCCACCGGTTCCTGCCAGGTCCCCGGTTGCCGCATTTTACTCCTCCCAAGAGCACCCTTGTGCATGTCTTCATAGAGCCCAGGTCTTCGAGTGTTGAGACTTCAAGAGTGTAGGGACCGACTGGGACGAGGAAGCTGCGGCACTTCCCACATGGGTAGTTGTCAAAATTATGGTCCCTTTTGGGGTACCCTAAATAATAGGTGCCGTATTATAATAAGGACCCAAAAAGGGACCATAATTTCGACATCCACCCACATGTTTCTTGAAGTCTTAGTATATTCAAGCTTATTGATGGCGGCTGCTTCATCAGCGACAACCCCGGCCAGCACGGCGATAGAGCTGCGGCACTCCTCCTCGAGCCTGTGCATGCTCGGCATTGGGGCTTTCCGAAAATTGCGTCCGTCTGGGGCTCATCATACTAAGGACCTTACAAACACTTGGAGCCTACACCAAGGTATTTACCTCGGCGAGGTACTTTTTTTTTTTTCTAAAAAGTCTGCACCATGGGAGCCAGAACTGATAGATGAGCTTCCCGCATGGAACCAGCACATGTCACCTGTCAGGGTTCCGAAACGGGGCCCCCAATTTTTTCTAAGACTCCAACCATGCTTCTGCGTTGTTGTTGCTCGCAGAGGTTTAGGGCTTGAAAATTGGAACGACCTTAAACTGAAATGCCAGACCCTTTGAGACAAACAGCTCCTTTGTGCCGAGGTAGAACCATTGCGTGCTCACCCTGACTTGGGAGGTGAGCAGCAGTAGCGGGCCACTGGTTTTCTGGCGGCATCCCGGTCTCACCACGTCAGCTTTAGCCGTAGCCTTCTCTGACACATAGCCTTAGTCTGAGCCCATGCTGCAGCAGCTAGCAGTCGAGAAGGGATTGGTCAGTCACTTCATCAAAAAGCTAAAGGACCTGCGCGCATTTGTCGGTCTGGCGTTTCGGCTTCTGCTTGCCGCAACAGGAATCCGATTCAAAGCAAAACATCGGTTCAGAAGCACGTTCCATTGAGTTGGCTTCGAGTTCCAACTTTCAGAGCGAAGACGAAGGCTCCCTGCTTCAAGGCCAAGGCATCAACGTTGCTGCCCATGGCTTCAGTGCTTCTACCGAGACCTCGATACAGAACCCTACAGAGTAGCAGTGGATCTTTGTGGGATCCGTCTTAGTCATAAGGAGCAGTGAACAAAGGGCCCCTGCTAAGAAATGCTTTCAAGCCCGGTCACGCCCTTAAACAGCCTATACCATCGGATACCCCCTCCCCTAAACATTCTTTGTCAGGTGGGCAGGTGGGAAAAACACAGGGGTATGGGGCGAATTGTGAGAAGCCGGTCTCCGCTCGCAGTTCCGGCTCAACGAGAGGGTAACTCTGGGTCCAAGACGGCTCGGATCTAGGGCGTAATCTAGAGGTCGTTAAGTCTTTGAAAAAGGTATACTACAAAATACCAGAATGCTGTCCTGTGGTAGGGCTAGGGCTATGGTCTTTTTAGACTAACGACCTGCAGCACAAGCACTTGCTTGACAGAAATGTCCAGCACAACAGTACAAAAAATCATGAACACCGTTCCCTCAAGAAGGATTATGATAGAGATCCCCAGTTGATTGGGGCTTTAAGAAGGCCCTGAACTTCTTGGCAGGGTCCGCATTATAGTTCTCTTGGGTGTAGCAGACCGTGTAGCTGCCCTTCTAGAAACTCCTGAACCCTAAATACTAGTTAACCCGTACAGTATCTCTTCTAGAAGCCCGTTTGTATGGCGAGATCGAGCCGATGAGTCCACCCAGGCTCGGCCAGCGCGAGGGAAAGCTGCATTCAAGGGGGGGTGGGATCTTTTCTTCTAGAGTTATCGTTGGGTTTCATGGGGATAACATAGGTATTCGTAGGGTTATTATAGGTCGTTATACGTGTTTCGTAGGTTTTCTTAGGGTTACTGTAAGTTTTCCTAAGGAGGCCTCATATGAATCATAGGCCTTGTAGGATTATATCAGGTTGTGATAGGGGTATCACAGGTTGCTATGGGCTATAGGGTTATCATGCTTTTCCAGGGTTGCAGTAGGTTTTGGAGGGTTGTCGAAGGTTATGGGATATTTATGGTTATTATGTGTTATGCGAGGTTATCATGGGCTTACGAGGGGCGAGTATGCTTTGATATTTATACTTTGTTACGCATGGTCGTTATTGCAAGTACGAGTCAGGGCAAACTTCGCACTCAGCAGCATCCGGCTGACATGGGCCAATCCTTTTGTCCATGTGCCGCCCGCTCCGTGCAGGTTCTCTCCCTCAAACTAACACAGCTCACAGCTTTCCGTGATTAAGGCCCCCCCCAAAGGCACCTGCAGTATGAATCGGTGCCGAAAGCATTGCATGAGTTGCTTTCTTTACGGTTTGATTGCCGATACAGCATATGTTGGCAGCCGCCTAAATATTGAAGTCAGTCAGGCCTCTAGAATTGAATGGTCGCTTGCCTTCTGTTGGGTTGCATCTACAAAGAAGCCGCCGCCAACATCCGGGGAGAAGGATAGCATGACCAAAAGATCACAACAGCCCTAAGCCTTGCCTGGTGCGAGAGTGAGAGTCGAAATCCAGCTCAGCCCTTGCACTGGAAACCCTAAGCCTGAAAACCTCGCTGAGCGAGGGTGCGAGCGCCGAAATCCTGGAACACTGCAAACACTACACTTTTTTTACATGGGAGTCGACTGCTGCCCTTACTTCCCATGCCTCGCAACATTGAGAGCAAACACTGCCCTAGACCCTAAATTCTGGCATAACCTTTGCGCCACCTGACAGCCTCCAAACGACGGAGAAGGGCCTCGAGCACTACGAGGCCTATCTTCGGCGCCAGGGCCAGTGCCAGGCGCATTTATGGCTTAACAGCCCTTGGGGTTTGAAAGGGCTCTATGAGGGCTTCGGGATTTTGGGAAGGTTTCTATGCTTCTATATCGGTTTAGTCTCTACAAGGGGGTTTGGTAGGCTCCTACAGTAGAAGGGTTTCAGTGCGTCTTATAATGGTTTTATAGACTATAGACTACAAAGGGCTTTAACCGGATTGGGATATGATTATAGGGGAATACGGGGATAGGGCGTGTTCATTGGGTCCTTGGGCAATACAAGGTGGGGAGTGTTTTTAAAGTGTGTGTCAGGGTCTCTCAGGCTCCGGACAGTTGAAGTCTCAATGGCTGGACAGGAATACTTGGAGGTTCATGGGTAGTTAGAAGTAGGGTTACAAGTAGGGTAACTATACTTATAACCCGAAGAAGGGGGCTTATCACCCCTTTTATAACTACCCACGAACCTCCAAGTATGGTTCCATCGATCGCAAGACTCCTCCAAGGTCTGTGGGCTCGAAGCTAGACTAGAGAATGGTAAGCCCAGAGGCGCACACCTTATTCTTCCTGGTCCAGTTCTTTTACCCGAAACCGAAATTGACTGAGGCTTGAGGTGTGTAAGACTATCGCAGGGTTCGGGTTAAAGATGTCATCCCCGAGCGACGAAGATTGGGCTTACCATTTTGCCTGCGTTCGTGCAAAAGTCCTCCAACTTGCTGTCCGCGTTATGTGGTGTACTATATTATGCTATGCCAGTCAGAAATAGCCCATGTCGATGACTGTCTCTGCAGAAGCGTCTCGGCCATCCCGGGGGATCCGCACCCGCAACTCCGAAGCTTGCCCAAGCTGTTACAAAACCCTAAACCCTAAACCCATACCGCTGCACGAGCTGGAATGCCTCGGAATTTGGTGAATTCGAAGACCTTCATGCAGGTTGTTGTGGAGTACACCGAGCCCTGGACAACAGACAGCCTGCATGCTGCTACATTCACGAGCCGCGTCCACGAAGACGACGACAAGAATTCACGAATGAGAACACATGGCATTTTGCCATGACCAAGAACTGCATGATGAAGCCTGCATGACAGTGACCGTACAAAGACACCACGATGAATTCCTGCCCGGTTGAATGTGACTGCATGAAGACACCACCAGAATTCTGATCTGCATGAGAGTGACCACACGGAGACACCACCACGACGAATCCCTGCATGCGGTGACAGTGACATGGAGCGTCATTTCTCCCGACCTACTTGATGGCGCAATGACCGTCGAGTAAGTGGGCTACAGAGTGTTAGACCTTTTGAAACAGAGTGGCACAACGCCACGGATGAAACTAGGACTGCATGGCTATTGGCAGTGAGGGCAATATTCGCTTTGTTTGTTTGCTATATGATTAGGGCGATCGTGAATATGCCCCTCTGTCACATGGCCCAGCATGTCCACGTAGCAATCTCGGACACTTATTGCCATGCCTGCTTTGCGCGTGTGTGAGTCGAAACCCGAAACCCTAAACCTGAGTGTGAGAGTCGAAACCTTGCCCAAGCTGTTACAGGTGCCCCAAACCCTAAACCCGAAACCCTAAACCTTGCCCAAGAGGGGAACAAAAACCTTGCCCAAGCTGCTACAGGTGCGCGGGATGGAGGCGATCTCCCAGAGCCTCGAGGATGCGCCACGCACACAGGAGCGACAAGGGCCCTTCTTGCAGGTTCATGGGTAGTTATAAGTGGGGTTATAGGGTTCCTTTAAGGGTTTAGGGTTTAGGGTTCATGGGTAGTTATAAGTGGGGTTATAAGTCCCCTAATAGGGGTTATAAGTATAGTTACCCTACTAATAACCCTACTTGTAAGTACCCATGAACCTCCAAGTTGTTCAGGGCAGGATGAAGTGGACGTGGATGGAAGCAGGTGACGCGTGTGGGCTCATGGGTTTAGGTGTCAGACACCGGGACTTCACAGATTGCGACTCCTACCACAGGAAATACAACCGCCAACACCTTGAAGATTCCAACGTCCACTCGTTGAGGTCTTGGTTTAGTTAGCCTCAGGCTTGAGGATCCGATGAGGTAAAAAGTCGACCATCTCAGTTGACAGATGCTCGCTTCTGTCCTTAGAATCGGCAACGTCAGTGTGAAAACCGATGGGTTTTTAGATTGCAGGATTCGGGTCTTTCTTCTTAACTTCCGTTTTGAAGGAACCTTGTTGAGCCTCTCGCGGCCCCATGCCGAATGCATGCTTTCGGGCTTTTCAGGGTTCTAGCTTCAACATTCCGTACTTCCAAGGCTTCAACATTCCGGGCTTCTAAGGGGGTGGGGGGGTGGGGGGCTTGATACATGTTGTGGGCTTCATCAAGGATGAATGCACATCCCTGGAGATGGGCTTTGCGCGCTCTAACCAAGACGCCTGAGCCCGCAACAAACCCACCACCGCCTTCCGAAAACAAAAGCAAAGCCTAAATTTCATTTCCTGCACACCTGAAGAGATGTCAAGCCCCAAGCCTTGTGCAGCCGTACTGCCTTGGCTGCCCCAGCTACTACTGCTACGTCTCCTGCTGCTGCCTTCTCCTGCATAAACCTCAAAGACAACTTTTCAACAGACGCACGAATTGCAAAAGACATCGTCCAAACCATGGAAAAACTGGCAAGCTCGTCACTTTTGTTACTAGCTTAGCCACAGAGAATGCTGGTATTCGTGGAAGAAATGCACGATGTGGCCTGCAAAATCCACAGGGTCACCAGTGGCTGCGTGACCTTTAGGCTCAGTATACTAACATTCAGGCTAGTTGAAGGCTCAAGCCTTGAGCAAAACGCACTTAGCAGTGCAGGTTAGGAGATCGTGTGTGCATGACCCCAGGCCCTTGTTCGAACGATGGGCGGCTCATTGCCTTCATCACCTGTGACAATAGTTATTTAGTACACCGTTATTATAGTCCTCATATAGGTATA